TATCATTCTTGTGTCTTATATGTTATTTCTTATGTAACTGTTCTATAACTTATCTGTTGGTGTACTTTATAAATAAATAAATAAATAAATAAATAAATAAATAAATAAATAAACTAGCTTTCGCCCGCGACTCCGTGCGCATGGCATTAAAAAAGTGAGTAGGCTATGTGTTCTTCCAGACTATCCTCTATACCAAATTTCATTGAAATCCATCCAGCCGTTTAGGCTACAAACTCTAACAAACATCCATCCATCTCAACTTTCGCATTTATACATGTATTAGTACGATTGTACTAAATAATGCTATTTTTGTTTGCAGTTAACTTTCCCGCCAACTGTTAAAAATACAACTGTATAGAAAAGTCTATGGTCAATTTTGATTAAGAGAAGTTGCGCCAATTCGAAAAAACAATTAAAAACATAAAACCGGACAGTTTTAGGTTAGAAAACTATGCAATTTTATTTTAATAATGTAATGAAAATCGATTTGAAGACATCACAAATTAATAAAAAATAACCAAATACTTACTAAAGTAATTGTTTTATTTCATTTAAATGTATTCACTTAGGTAAAAAGCACAGAAAAACGTTTTAGTCAATTTCGTAAAGCAGGACTTTCCGCCATTTTAGTTACATAAGGCGGGAACCGGCGCTCATCTGCCGCGTTCATAATTCATGTATCAATTTCTGATACCACGACTGAACTCATGTTTTTAGTAAATTACGACGTAAAAGAGCGTTGTAAGTTTATTGAGATTTAAATGCTAAAGGAAATATACGAAACACGTTAAATATTTGATTTACAAAGTTTTTTATTAATACACATTTTAAATACTTTCTTTTTTTAATAACGACTGTTGCTCGTGACTACGTCCGCATGAAATTAAAAAAATATAGCCCATGTTACTTCATAGAAAACATACCTTTTTAATGGTGAAAGAATTTAACAAATCGGCCCCGTACTTTTTGAGTTGTTTTAACACACAACAAAAAACAAATATTTCCTCTTTATAACATTAATAGCTTTCGGCCGCGAATTCTAGTCGAATTAAAAAAAGTAAATAGTCTATATGGTCTTCCAGACTATCCTCTACATCTATATCAAATTTCATCGAGATTCGTTCAGCAATTTGAGTTAAAAACTGTAACAAACATCCATCCATCGATCCAAACTTTCGCATTTATAATATTATAATAAGTAAGATAATATATGTGTATATATGTATAGGATAGAATTATTCTAAAAAAACCATAGACATTATCAAGATTGTCTGTTGTTATAAATAGAATTGAATTTATTGTAGCTGTGCGTCTTGTCTTTTACTTCACTGCACTTCAGCTATAAAGGAGATTCCTAAAATATACTTCAATAGACATTAATTGGTTTCGCGGCAACTGATTTACATTCTTCTGTGAAACTGATGAATTGACTTTTAAAAATGGAGGACATTTAGCGAATCAGTCAAGAATAATTACAAATACGTTCCTATTTGAAAATCTATTTCTATACTATTATTATAATAAAGCGTAAACACACACTTCTTTATTGCCTAAAATGTCAGCAATTACAGCATATTTTTGAATAATTATTTTTTTAATAAAAAGCCCTACACTTACGTCACGCTTTAGGCTATGTATTTCACGCCATTAAATTACGGGGATATTTTGGATAAAAACCCCAATGTGGGAAGGAGATCATAAGTTGCTGCCAACATCAAGAAAGCAAGATTGCTAAGGTTTGTAATGTCATGTCATTTTGACATTTGCTATTGATGATTTGACAAAAGTAAACAATAGAATAAAATTTTCAAAATTTCATGCGGACGTAGACGCACGGAACTGGGTAGTAATTGATAAAATTCTGATAAAGACAGGGATGGTGAATCATAAGAGCGTGGGCACGTCTTTGACTAAACTATCGCAGAACTGTACGATTGTCAGCCAATTCAATTGTTTAGTTGCACAACTAAACAATTGAGTGAGCGCAACTCCATATAAGGTCATAGGAATCAAAGCGGGACTAAACAGTCGTGCGATCTTATTCAAATAGATTGAGATCCCAGGCCAGGATGACGACACTTATATTCTAAAACTTTACTGTTATATGATTAGATAGTACTCGTTTGTGATGTGAAAATAAGTGTCGTCATCCTGGTCTGGGATCTCAATCTAAAAGGTGTGCGTGCTAAAGCTTATATTATATTATTTAGTTGTATGAGAAAAGGTTTCTTGCGAGAAAAAATATATTTGCTAATTTAAGGAAATATCCGGGCACGGTTTGCTACAAAACAAAACCTACACATATTTGGAAATTCTGTTTGGTATATTTTAAGGTTAAAATGTGACCAAATCTATTCTCATTCGATTGTAAAATTCTAACACGGGCAGTCGAGACGGGTTCGACGACCCTTATAGTGTTGCATGAATAAAAAATATCTACCTAAACTCAATATCACCCGCGTTAATTTGTTTTTTTATTTTATTTAAATACATAGTTCCATTCATACATACAAATCTATATCTATACTAATACAAGCTGTCGCCCGCGGTTCCGTCCGCGTGGAATAAAAAAAAAATTAGCCTAGGCAAGTAGCCTATGTGTTCTTCCAGACTATCCTCTACATCCATGACAAATTTCATGGAGATCCGTTCAGCCGTTTAGGCTACAAACTCTAACAAACATCCATCCAACCATCTAAACTTTCGCTTTTATAATATTAGTAAGATTATAAAGCGGAAAAATTTGTATTCTTGTACGTATTGGAATAACTCAAAAACTACTGGGCCGATTTTAAAAATTCTTTCACCATCAGAAAGGTAATTTATCTGTGAGTAACATAGGCTATATTTTATTATTACTAATGTTTAGGAACTATTAATAAACAGCGTATTTCTGGACGCCGGCCTTAAAAATTCACTAAACTTTAACTCTTCTTAAATAATACAGATATGAGCTAAAACTGAGAAAAAATAATTATAAATCCAGGAGTTTTATTAAAAAAATTAAGTTTTTATTAAAATGAAGATTTGGTTATATCCAAGGACGTAACTTTTTTCGCCGGAAATGTGTTACCGAGACCAGTAGACTAAAAAGGATGTATTAATTTATACTGATTCTTTAACTTCCTTTGTTAGCTGCAAAATTGGTTTATTCACTACGTATAGTGTCAACTTTTTTTTATAAAGATGTCACGACAGTAAAAAAGAACCCAAATTTCGTCACGCGATTTTGAGCTAAACTATTTAACTACGTCATAGTCTTTGACTCCATAAATCAAACAAAAAAATGGGTCCCACCTGTAAGCACTACCTTTCGTATAAAAAAAAGAATTATCAAAATCGGTCCACTAGCGGCGGAGTTATGCCGTAACACACAAAAAAAATTTTAAAAAACATACAGACGATTTGAGTACCTTCTTTTTTTTGGGTAGTCGGTCAAAAATGGTTGGCAGATATCATAAATGTTCACTTCGCACAGACCTGGAATAGCTTCAACCGCATATTTTTTCCGGATTGAGGTTGGACTCGATTATTATTGTTTCATACTTTGTAAATACTAATTTCTGATATAATATACTAACGATTTCAAAAAAAACATTGCTTTATAGGTCAAATTAAGGAATTACATTGCAGGATTTAAACCCAATAACCTAAAAAAAACCTACTAACCATTGCGATATTTTTTTCTTTATTTCATAAGGTGGCAAACGAGCAAGCGGCCACCTGAATCCGCCAAAATGGCGAAGCGATTGCTGCCCATAGACATTTCCAATAGCAGATGCGTTCCCTACCCTTAATCGACGAAAGAGCAGACGCATAAACAGGATATTTCCCCTTCCTATGCGTCTCCTCCAACGTCAATTCCACGTTCCCTTGCCAACCTTTTCTAATAAGGAAATAGGTGGGAAGGAAAAGGGACACAAAATGGTCATTACACGGTCTTGAATTTTTCTCCATTTTTTCCATTTCTCCAAAAAGGGCGCGAACGTAAGGTTTGAACTTTCAAATATCACGCGGAAGAAGTCGTGAGGAACAGCTAGGCGTAAATATAGACGTTAATTTTATATAAAAACATTATATTATAAAGAAAATATGACGATAGATATAGTAAGTCTGTTTTCTAATAATATTCGTAATAATTCATTTAATTACAAGTATTAATTCGTTGCCTACGCATGGTTTTCGCTAGGGTTGTCTAGTTCGAGTTTTACATGATTTGTAATGATACGATTTTTACTGTGAAGGAAAATAACTGTTAAAACCTGCACAACACTGCCAAGAAATCTATACTATTATAATAAAGGGTAAACACATACTTCTTTGTTGCCTAAGATGTCAGCAATTACACCATATTTTCGAATAACCCTTTTTTTAATACAAAGCTCTAATCTTTCGTCAAGCTTTAGGCTATATATTTTCACGCCATTAAACATACGGGGATATTTTGGATAAAAACCCTAATGTGGGAAAGAGACTATAAGTTGCTACCAACATCACGAAACAAAGATTGCTCAGGTTTGTCATGTCATGTCATTTTGATAATTTGACAATTGTAAACAATAAAATAAATTTCATAATTTCATGCGGATAAAACCGCACGTTAACAGCTAGTCTAAGATAAACTCAAGACTGAAAATTGGAGGTATAAGAACTGTGGTAATTAAACAGATGAATGTCAAAAATATTTGAGGTTATTCCGAAATTTCATGAAAATTTTGAGTTGAAGTGAAGTGATGTTGTACATTAAGTGTAAATAATATTATTTAGTTATCCAAGAAAAACTGTTTTTCTAGAAATAAGTGAACTGTGCATCATATCTTTGATAATGGACTCAGATTATAACAATATTTTACACGTATCAGTTTAATCGAAAATTGACAGCCCTACTTTCCATTTCTGTCGTAGGCTGGGGTTATCAAAGGACACTAGACATAAATATTGTCTATGGATAGGCATTTGACACTTCTGTCTATGGCCTGGTATCGTCTTTTATTACCGAACTAGTTGTTGCTCGCGATTTCATCCACTCATTAAGATAAAAAAGTAACCTATAATATGCCCGTCTGTAGTCTAATAGTTTTGAAGATAACCCGGAACAAACGCGGCTTGCGGACAGACAGACAAACATTTTTTACCTGCGATTTTCGTTATCAGCAGTGCAAATACATTATCTTTCTGAAATCTGGAATTTTTAAATCCAATTACGTTCCATGTTTAGGTTCACTTTGTACAATTTTTCGATAAGACACGCTTATATTGTCCTACTTTACATATAAATTTTGGGACAGTCCTATAATTGGTCTAAATATAGTACTACATAATCTCCCATCTTACCATTTGCTAACAAGCTGTATTTACATTTTTATTTCATTTAAGTAGCTATGTATTGTTTTTTTTTAATTGAAAAAGGAAAATCTAAACTTCATTATCTGTTGCGCACAGTGGCGCCCTCATCTTGTACTATCCACCTTTGACATTTAAAGGTTGAATGGTTTTCCTTTTGTTTTGTAAACGAAAAACATTACAACACATTGAATATTAATTAATTTTACTTAGTAAATAACTTTTATTAATGTTTAAATCACTATTAGAAGGACCTACAATGTTTTTTTAACTCCTAGATTCAGACATTCGCTATAATGCCAGTTTTAGCGTTAACAGCTTGGTAGAGATTTCTACGGCACCCCCTTTTTATCATGCCTAAAGAAAACCCCTACCGGTTTAAGGGCCTTTAAGGTTAGGGTTAGGTTACAATGTGTAACTTTATAACCTGTAGCGACCTTATCAGTCTAGAGCCCTTAGCGGTCACCCAACCGTTCCTTATTCTAAAGCTACACTGGTGACAAAAATTAAAAGTCCTGCTTAGTTAAATATATTAAATGCTTTTGCTCGCAACTTAGCACTATTCCTGACAGAAATCTGGGCTAAACATCCAGATTCACTTGTGAGTTTTAAAGTTATCTGCTAACATTCATCTATCCAAACTTTCGAATTTAAAATATTAGTAACCCGCGACTACGTCTGCGTGAAATTTAAAAAACAAAATTAAGTATCCCATGTGTTTTTGTAGCCTAAACGGCTAAACGGATCTTGATGAAATGTGGCATAGACGTAGAGGATAGTCTGGAAGAGCACATAAGCTACTCACTTTTGTTTCTTTATTTACACGCGTACGGAGTCCCGGGCAAAACTAGTTCATAAAAATTGTAAGAAGAATAAGTAATAAGGAATATTTAATCCTTACTTTAAGATACAAACCTGTAACATTGCCATCAGCATCCTTATTAGGTCCAGAAAACTTTAGTCCCCTGGTCGTCTCGTTCATGACCACGAGATCAGCAGCCGTCACCACTTTGAATCCCAAACCGTGGCTGGATACGGTAGAGTTCCACAGCCACATACACATGTCAACTTGCGAGTTATTGTTCGGTTCAAAGTTGCAAAACACACCGGTCACCTGTGGCACGTAATTGTTCTTAGATATCGCTTCATATGTTAACCCATCACCTCGTAACGCCTTCATCTTGTCCGCCAACGTGTCTGTTGTATTATCCGACATTGTTTTCTGTTTAGTCGCGATCGCTCCTTCATTATCGTTCAACATATCATCATGCTGCGCTCTGTGCTCACGATTTATTTGTAGTATTTTATTTAGATTACTCTTCCCTCTTCGTCTGCCTTCTCGATGGTTTTCCGTCCGGTTCATTAAGTTCGAAAGCTTCTGGAAGGATCCGCGTTCTCTGCCCGGGTTCGCGGACCTTGATCTCTCCTTTTCCGCCGCCAAGGCTTTCTCTTTATCCACGGCATGCTCGCAACCGACTATCGCGATCAGTAAGAGAGTGATTATAACCGTACTACGCGCCATTGGTCCGATGCGGTTATTCAGTTGTTTAAATAACCGCATCCAGCTTGTATTCGGCAGCTGTAATCCATTACGCGAACGAAGTTGTCGCGTAATCGATTCATAACAAAAGAAGATAGATGTTAGAGATTATTTCCTATTGTGATTTATTGAAGCGCCGTGACCTCAGGGAATGCAACGACACGCCGCCTTGGAAGTCCGCCAGTCCTGGAGATATGGCATCGGTCGATATACGACGCACAATACTCTCGCACATTTTATCACAACAGTCAATATCTACACATAATTGCGTATTTATTTGGCACTTTTTTGTTAATATAATTGTTTATTCACAGGTCTATTTGATTACAGCGACTACATCCCCTAAAAATATGACCGGTAATGGAGGATCTCCGTGGTACCTCGGGCACGTATATACATGGAATGAGACCGCGTGCGGCGCACTCAGCTCGCACTCAAATATCACCGAGTGACGATTACCGTTCAATAAAGACACTTGCGGGGCTATACATCCGCAATTTTTCAATTTCCAACACTAAAATTACGTTTTAACTAGCCCCCATATCGAGGTACGTACACCGACGTCCCACTCGTGTAGCTCGCAGCGCCGCGGCGGGAATATGCGGAACTACGCTTGTGGACAGAAATAATCATTACTTTTCGCAAGATGTGATCTTCGTACGGCATCCGAGGGGATGCTGCGCAGGTGTTAGCCCGCCTTTAGCTCGTTCCCGGGTTTTTCGCGCAGGATGTAGTTGCGTCAAATACCGTCAGACATTGGTTCTTTTAGGATTATTGTTCACGTCATTCGTATCTATTGGTGTGTTTTACAAAATCCATTTTCCAATTGGACCTAAATCGAATCAGTGCGGGAGCGGGCCAATGGTAATCCGCACCGGATATTACATCGAGGAAATTTCCTCAGAGATTTGTTTACGCGAACGTTAGGTGGTCGCGATTTTTTTGCCGATGATCTGCGGAAATCAGATTAAGCATCGATCTGATATCGTTTCTGTCTCGTTGCCTGAACAATATTATCTGTATTTGTGAATTAAAACGCCTTTTTAATACTGGCTTTATATTTTCACAAAATGCTTGCTTGCAGTATCGATTATATTATAGCTTCTCTCAGTGATCAAACAGTGTGTGTTTATAGGAATGTCTCTTAAAACCCATGGTAACATTAACAATTATGTGACGTTTCAATCACATAATTTAGAAAAACAATATTGTACAAAAATTATAGATTGTTGTTTTAAATAAAAGAATTGCTATTTTTAATATATTTCATAGTTATAATTTTAAATTGTTACAATTAACTTTCCAAAATAAGTAAATGTTAAAATCGATTTTCATTTATTTATTTCTGCTTAAATAAAAATTAACTATTCGATTTTGACAGCTCGTAAGTAGATTTTTAGTTTCGGAACGCACTTCACCACTCCTTGTATTTTATTTTGGTCTGAACTTCCAGTTAGATTAAATTCTCATTTCTGTATTGAATGAGTAATTCATAATAATGTGTCATTCGTGCAATAGACTAGTAATGCAGTGGGTGTTACAGTTTTAACAATAATATACATAAGGTAAGCGTTACAATTATTTTAAAAAATAAGATAAACAGTTACACGAAATTACCTACAAGTATTCTGTCCATATGATATAATTTTTTCCCTCTTTATTTGAAAACAATTTATATGAGAAGTACTAGTATTGTTTATTTTAATAATACTTTGCAATTTATTGGATATTCGAACATCAAATGTAAGCAATTTAAAAAACATAGAAAAAAATAATATTTACTTTACCTTAGTTGTAGTTTAATAATTTTAGTAAACGAAGTAAAATAGTATTTATCTTTGTCTACAATTGATTGATTTTAATGAAGTTTTAGGTTAGTTTTTTACTATAAAGGTATGGAACATAACGATAACAGCAAAAAATATTTCAGTTTATAATTTATACAATTAATACAATTAAAATGTATGTTACTTTATAAATTAAACTCTAAAATTGTTTGAATGTTTCCCATTGAGCCTATCACCTAGGAAAAATAACCCATAGGGCTGTTTGATTACATTTAAAGATGCATTCTATTGTTTTTGTCTGCATCATCTTAATATGTACAAAATATGTGGAACTGTACTTGCTTCATTTGTCATATTCCTCCTTGTTCATACTCCTGAAGGGCACAACAGTTTTTTTCCTCCACATAACTGTATTATGCATCATCTCAGTCACTCTTCTTGATTGTCACCGTTCATGCAATCCATCTCTTTCTAGGTCTACCTCTACCGGAGTAACTAACATAACTAACATTCTCCTTGTTACATGCAATTCATCCCTCCTCATAACATGCCTATTTGTCCCTTTATAATAAAAGATACAAACATATATATTTCTCGAATATATCAGTCATATGCATTATCTGTACGTTCACCTCAGTCGTAAAATTATATATTTTACTATAAATAATATGTTGTACTAACATTCTTATCTTAGACTATGGTTTGAGAGAGATTTTATCAATTATTTTACATTCTCCTACAATGTGCAATTTTGAAATAAAAAATGATATATAACAATAAGAAATATAGATATATGAGAATAATAATTTCTAAAAATCTGTCATATGGTGACAAATGTTACTATGTTAATTGTTAACATTACGGTTAAAACTGAAGCTCGGTAGTATATCAAACTAACATATCTAGTAAGTTTCATCACCAAAACAATTACAGCATCATCTATTCAAATACAATGTGAAATTAAAATCTAATGAAATTGTGTGATGTGTGGCTTGTATTTAATTGGTTGACCTCATTTTGTATGGCTTCAACAACCATACAATTGTACACAACTAACTCTGGACAAATTGTAGATTAAAAATGTATATCTATACTCATATTACAAAGAATGGTTTATATTTTTGTATGTAACCTTGTATGTAAGAGCGTCGGTGGCTCAGTGGTTTTACTTGACTTGACTACAGGTCTTGGGTTCAAATCCCGCTGTACCAATGTGATTTTTGATCTTTCGAATTTTCATATGTACATAATTTACCCGACGTTCTTAAGGTGAAGAAAAACATCGTGATGCCTGCACATATCGGCGAAGAAATTCAAAGATATGTGTGAAGTCAACCAACCCGCAGTGCAGCGTGGTTGACTATGGCCTAGTCACCCTAATTTAGGGTAGGCTCCGAGCCCCTCGGTGGGGACGTATAGTGAGCTGGTGATGATGTTGATGTAACCTAAAAAACGAATGTATTTGAAATATTCATTTACCATTAGAAAGCTACATGATTACTGAGTGACATCATACTTCATACTAATGTTATAAACGCAAAAGTTTAGATGGATGGATGGATGTTTGTTAGAGTTTGTAGCTTAAACTGCTGATTGCGATGAAATTTGGCATAGATAGAGAGAATAGTATGGAAGAACACATAAGCTATTTACTTTTGTTTTTTGAATGCCGATGGGCAAATGCTAGTAAGCCATGTTTATAAGTAGATTTTATTTAATTTCTGATAATGCGAACAAAGTACCTTATCCTACTCCTTTTTTTGTCCTCCAAATAACTCTATCATCTCACATCACTCCCTTAATCATGTCATCTTACACGCAATCCATCCATCTCTAATCGAATTTCCCGTTTATTTTTTTTATGCAAAGATTCTGAGAACATTCTTCCAGTTTTATCAAAATACATTTATTAGTGTGTAAAACAAATTCTGACGTTTTATTATGAACATAAAACTATAAAAAACGTTTTTTAGAATTCCTAAACAAGATTGTTTATTGGTTATTCCCAGAAGCTGATTATAATGGGAAAAATTATCGTATAAATTATACCACTTATCGTCTATCAGATAACGAATGTAAATCAATATTGGATTGCTCATTACGAGTTGATTATTTACGTATTCGCGCGCTTTTTGATTAGTGACGCTTATTTTTTTTTTCGAGATTAAAACAGTAACAACGTATTTTGTCTGAACGCAATTTATAGAGGTTATAACAGTTTTTTTTTAAAGATTAAAAAGTTAAATGTGTAGCAATAAAAATACTACTTTATTGTGATTTTAGATATAAAAATGCATTATTGTTTGTGTTTAAAAAGGTATGTTCCCTTACAATTAAGCAACCGTATTGCTAAAGAATTTCAAGGTACTTTTTAATGACAAGACAAAAGCTAAGTTGTCCATGGAGCCAATTTTTTTTTTCGGATAATCTTTTTTATATTTACGTAGTTCTAGATTTTTCATTTCAAAATTAAATATCATTGCAATATGTGATCGAAGACGGTTAATACTCGACCTAAATCCGTTCTAGATTGCTAACCTAGATAAAGTTTATGCTGGAGGTTGCTCAAACGCCTGTTAGCGTATAAATTGAAATTGAACATTTGCGTATATTCGTGTTACTGTGTGCTTGTGAAATGCATACAGTCATATTAGTTAGACTTAAAAAAATGTGCATTGAACTAATCGTACTTTTAGTTTCTTATACTTTAAATAGTTTTTATATAATAATAGTTTATAATATTTAAATTACTTTCAATCAAATTTTTTAGCATTCATAGTGGTCATAATTTATGCAACGGACTTCACAACTTCTTGGTTTTCTTATATGTAAATAATTAAATATGTTCTTACTCTCTATGTACCCCAGATGAGACAAGATACGTGAAGCATGTCGGGCGGTAACGCGTCCAAGAACAAGGCGCGCTCCTCCAAGAGGCAGGAAGGCTGGGAGGAGGCGGGAGGGGAATTCTATCAGGTATCACGTCACAATATTTATACCGTGCGTCTCCACTGCCGAAACAATTGTATAAAATACAAATTTCCCGTATGTTTTCTAAAGGTAGTGTTACCTAATAAGCTAAAGAATCTTCATGTATTGATGCACGATTTTTGCATGACATATATTTTGACATCAAATTACGACAGATTTATCGATTTGGATTCTTGTACAATGCCATATCGTTGCATGTAGTCTTGTTGGTTATTATAATTTCTTTGGAGCGGGCGCACTTCTTTGACTAATCTATCGCACAACTGTTGTGCATTTGGTTCGTCATTCAACTGTTTAGTTACACAATAAAAAATCGATTAGTGTGCGCACCTCTATATAAGCTCATAGGAATCAAAGCAAAACTAAACATTTTGCGATAGTCAAAGGTGTGCGCTCGTTGTTTATGTATACAAGAATTTTGTGTCATCCTCTACAAATGCTGTTTGTAAGATACATTGCTGGTATTTTTAGGAGCTATATCCTGGAGGTGAACAGGAACTGTTCGAAAACCTCCAGCGAGCTGATGCAGCTAAACTCGCGACGCTTCTACCCTCCAAGCAGGCCAGGAATAGTAAGTATAATATCCATATTTTGGTACATGGGGAATAAGAGACTTCTTTTTACACTTAACACTAATACTTATATTCGGTTATCATTTTGGTTTATTATACTCCACTTTAGAACAGGGGTGGCGAACCTTTATGCATCAAAGTGCCATTTTTTAAATATTCAATGTGGTCTTAACCGTGCCATCAAATGATTTTGACTGATTTTAACGTTTATTTTTTGTATAATACCTAATTCATATTTTTTCGGAGTGTTTTTATGAACATCGACCTGTCTATAATATTGTGTCGTGTGCCATTGGTTCGCCATCCCTGCTCTAGAAGATTTGTCTCAATAATATCTCAAAAATTTTGTTTTGTTCACACTTGGCCATTACAGTCAGATAGTTGTGCCTGCCAGACTTACTGGCGCCAGTTCTCCATGTTCTCAGTGACTGTATTGGTCAGGTGAATACCGCAAATAATGTATTTTTTTTGCGTAATAGCGACGACGGTGAAGCGCGTTAGATCACAGAATGAGCGACGGCAGTCGACGTTCGCGCGAACCACGCAGAGCCGGGATATACATCTTTCTATGTTGCCGGACCTCTCAGGTCAGTCTATTTATTTCCTTTCATCTATTTCCCCCTTATTTTCAGCTAACATATTTTTATATCATAAGGTGGCAAACAAGCGAACGGCCACCAGAAAAGTGATGCGACCGCTGCGCATAGACATCAGTAATAGCAAATGCGTGTCCTCCGAATTTTTTACATTTTATTCCCCTTATTTTCAAGTAACAACCGAAGCCTTCTCTTTCAAAACACTGCATGTCATCGCTATCATTACATAAAGAGCTGTAGCTCGCGACTTTGCCCGCGTAAAATATAGCCTGTATTACTCACTGATAGTAGCTTTTGATTGGTAAAATAATTTTTGAAATCGACCCAGTAGTTTTTGAGTTATTTCAACGACTCAACGGATCTCGGTGAATTTTACATATATACATAGGCTAAGTTTTTTTTATTTTACACAGGCAGAGTCATGGTATAACCTAATGTTTTACACATCGAATTTTAAATCTTCGTTAATATCTTAAAGCTAAGAATTGGAACATTTGCTGTACCTTTCTTAAGTTAAACGAAATCTTAGATAAATATATCCAATGACTTAACCGTACTATTTCCAGAAAACACAATGTCATACCTTATTAATACACCGTTAAAAGTCCTTGAATTATTTAAAATAGTACACAAAAACTAAACTGTAACAAAACATCAGAGACCTTGTCTATATTATTTTGCTAAGACAATCTCGACAGTATTAGTTTCATATAAACGTATAGTGAATATCGATACAAACGAAAAATATAAAATCCTTTACTATATTGTTACTATTACTACTTTAAATAATAAAACTGGTATTAAATCATTTCCGGAAATTGTCCTAAAAAAATGTTCACCATGGTCACCCTATTTTCTATACATGCCGACAAGATTTTTAGTACAGAATAAAAATTGAGGGCAAACTCACGGACGTGGCCGTTTCATTTAATAAACCATCTAATAACAATTAATTACTCTAATTAACGAATAGTTCGTTGTTGTGTGAAACAACTTCGCGCCCAAATTTGACAGCTTTGTTTTTTTTATATTTGGACAACAGAATTGGTGTTCTGCCAGTACCTTTTTTTTTATTTTTTTGTAGTAATTATGATGAAATCTAGTTTTCGATTCAATCTTTTTAATAATAATACTTCAGGTCGATAAAAACTTAATCTAATTTTGGCTGCAACTAACTTCATGTTACTAAATTACAATAACTTACGTTTATAATAAATCTTGGGTTACTCCAAAAGTCTATCTAAGGAAAAAGAATTTAAAAAAAGTAATGTATTGTATCCAAAGCCAATAAACTGTCGATTTTAGATTTAAAAAAATGTTGTTTTTTTTTTCTTATTTCAGAAAATCTATCAAATGAGGAACGTAGTTGGGAAGAAATTATGCAGATTAAGGCAATGCCACTGCCGATGGGACAAAAAAGAGAAATAAAAGCCAGACTTCAGGTATGAAATTTGTTTTTATTTTTTATTAAAATTTTAAGTTCTTTTTTTAGTACTGTAAATAAGATATCGATTTTAATTATTCTCTAGTTTTTTAATCTAGTGTTAATTAACATTTTTTACGATATTTTTTTTGATATTTTTTTTGTACACCCAACAAAAAATGTATACGTCTGATTAAAAAACTTATCAACACTAAATTTCATATTACAATATTATTTTCCAGAATGCAACAAAACTTCGTTTACAAGGTCTGGAACAATTACAATGGAGGCAAAGAAAAGTTTGGCACAGATTTAAAAAACGATTTGCCGAAATTCTAGCGAAATTAGAACTCTGGCAATCTCCAATGCGAGTTATCGAAGGGAAATTCGGTACCGGAGTTGTCTCTTATTTTCTCTTCCTAAGATGGCTTTTCTTCTTAAATATTGCCCTTTCTCTATTCATAATACTCTTTCTAATTCTCCCTAATTCTTTAATACAAGATGTATGCGATGATTGCGGGGAAAATTCCACTTTATGCTGTTTTGACAACATAACCTCAAATAATGTCGTTCTCGATTTAATCCAAGGTACAGGATGGATGGAACTTTCTATGTTATTCTACGGTGTTTATAGTGAAAAAATATACGTTTACAATCTACCCAATTTATGGGAAACTGACATGTATTATAATATGCCTTTAGCGTATATTTTGATACCAATATCTTGGGCGTTACTATCTCTAGTCGCTATAGTGAAAACGGGGGCTAAGGGTTTTAAAGAAAAACTAGTGGAAAACGAAGGGCAGTTTTATTTGTATTGTAATCTAGTATTTGGTGGATGGGATTTTTGCGTACATAATGGTAAATCAGCTAAAATCAAACATAAAGCATTATATAACGAAATAAAAGGGTGTTTACAAGAAGAGAGGTATAAAGAAGAGAAACAATCGAGAACTAGAGAAGGGACTATTCTTCTTCATCTAAGAAGAATTATAATTAACTTCTCCGTTATAATAATACTGATAATATCCGGTTTTATAATATATAAAACATTCACTTTTTCGACAGAAACTTTGTATAGAAATACAGAAGAAAACGAAACTCTATCAGAGATTTACGAGAACTCATTAAATCAAGTCGAAAGTATTTTGCTAGAGTTTCTCCCTTATATAACTATTGTCGTTTTAAATTTATTTGTACCGGAAATATTCGGTTATCTAATAAACTACGAGAATTACAAACCGCGTCATATTATTCTGATAACTCTTCTGCGCACAGTTCTACTAAGATTAGCGTCTCTCGCGGTTTTATTGAGTCAAATTTATATGCAAATTAGTGGATTAGTTGAATCTGATATACGATCAGATTGTTGGGAGACTTACGTGGGTCAGCAGTTTTATAAATTATTGTTAACAGATTTCGCTGTTCAGTTTATTATGACGTTTCTAATCAATCTTCCAAGAGCGTTTATCGGACGCCATTCTAATAGCCGATGTCTCCGAAGCATCGGTACTCAAAGTTTTTACCTCCCTAAACATGTGTTAGATATTGTATATATCCAAACTATAATCTGGATGGGTACATTCTTCTGTCCCTTTCTACCAATAATAGGGACAATCTTCTATTTCCTTCTTTTCTATATTAAAAAGTTCAATTGTCTTATCAATTGTACTCCTTCCCCTATATTGTATAAAGCTTCTAAATCGAAATCGTTGTTCATGTCAGTGTTGTTCCTCGGTTTCGTGATATCGATAGTTCCGGTTGCATATTCGATAGCTGAGTTAACGCCTTCATCGAACTGCGGTCCATTCAAAGGTTATAATACTGTTTGGGATTTCGTTATAATAACGTTCAATATGTTCCCACCTATTATTAGAGAGATAGTTTTTTTGATAGGGACGTCTACTTTCGCGGTTCCAGCGTTTGCGATATCTTTATTATTACTATACTATTATTGGGCAGTTGCAACAGCTAATCGACATATGGTATCAGTATTAAGAAATCAGCTTGTTCTAGAAGGACATGACAAGCAGTTCTTGTTGAATAGACTAAGTGCGTTCATAAGACAGCATCAGAAACGATGCGAAAGACGGAATAGAGCCAGTTTCGCGGATGATGACTCTTCCATTAGACAAGGATCTAAGTGAATGTAAGTTATACGTTTAGTATGCTAAGTGAATGTAAGTTACTGGTGTCCGGAAATCATATGTATATATCTTAAGCTTTTTTGTATGGCGAATTTGAAAGAAACTACAGTTTTGCAATTTAATTTGGAAAGCCCTGTATAGATTAGGCTTTTTTTTTAATATTAAAATATTCTAAAATGCTCAAAAGCGATGTTATCCGGACATCCTGTATTATAAATATGTACACAATATTAATGTGATAAAATAAGTACATTTTGACAGATAAAAAATCGATAAGTCATTAAAAGTAATATAAAAAAATCGTAAAAATATCGATACTTCGTTTCACATCACTAGATTTTTTGACATCTGTCAAAGTGAGTTCATTCAGAATGCTATTATTTCGTAATAGAATTTAATTTATAATAAAATACGATGCAATTTTTTGTACATAATATTCTTGGTAATATTTAAGTGTGCCATTTTTTTTATCAAAAAACCCGCGACCATACGTCCAGTACAATAATCTAATAATAATGCAAGTTTGATTAAAAAACCTAAATTATACCAATTTTAATAATATTTTAATAGTAAATTCATTTTTTATTTGTTTCGTAACATTCCTTTTTTCTTTTTAATAATTCACAATTCAACAAAAGTACAAATTTATTCCTGTTATTATATTAAAAATTCCCAGTAATATTCTTATTTACTTATACATAATAGTCCAATTATAATACGTTTTTTTATATTGTATTTCATATATTAAGAGCGCGTTTGACCAAACTATCGCACAACTGTTTAATCTCGCTTTGATTCCTATGACCTTATATGGAGGCACACTACTCGATTTTTTGTTGTGCAACTAAACAGTTGAAGGCAAAACAATCGACAATCGCACAGCAGTTGTGCGATATTTTAGTCAAAGTTGTGCGTCCGTTCTTAAAAATAAATCCACAAAATTGTCTATTGTGTGCCAGATAATTTGCCAATGATGTCGGTTTTTTTCATTTTTTGACGCGTAAAAACAAAGTCTTTGTCATCATTTTGTAAAAAAATGTTAGACGCAAGTATATATCTATTTCTAATATTATTAATTACTAGTTAGTCCAAGTTTTCTATGAGTTTTTTTTTCCTAGATTTTACATTCGTATATTTAATGACGTTCTTTAGAAAATTTACTGTGATTTTTTGTCACCTTAGCGTAATTATACTTAGTAAATTTTTTCTTTACAATCATAACGTAATTGGCCTATTTGTACAGTGAAAATATAATTAAATACATAAAAATGGGCTTAAAAAATAATAACAAAAATCTACCATGACAGAAATGTAAAAAAAGGTAAAAAAAAAATCATTTTTTTACATGACTCCTGTTAAAATAGGCCTCTTATGTATGGTTTAAAATACTTGTTCTATTAATCCGATTTGCTCATTAAACCAATTAATTTAAAAAAAAAAAACAGGGGAAAAATGTCAAATTTGCCAAAAAATCTCGGTTGTTAAGTCTTGTTAAATTGATAATATTCTCAGTAACCAATGCTTCCGAAATCTTTATGTAATTTATAGATTTTTTTTTTGTTAAACTTGTCTTCCCATTTTTTAACGGTCACAAAAATACCCAAAATGCCCAAAATGAAATTACAAATAATTAAGTCACTTGTAAATTTGTATAAAAAGCATTTAATAGTAATTTAAGTAGGTTTTGTACCATAGTGATCTCATTCTATACAAAAAATGTTGCAATGAAGTAAAAAATTTTAATTTTTTACCTTCTAAGACTGTCCAAGAGAATTCCTATTTCTTTTGTATGTTTTTTTAGTTGTATCAAGTTCAAATTATGTGTTAAAAAGCCAAATAATAATTTAAAAAAAAATTATATGCGTTTTTTCATACTAATTTAAGAAATATGTTTTTTGAGATGTAAATTTTATAATATGCATTTTTTATTTTAATGTAATGCAATATGAGACACAAATAGATATAAAAAGCTATACATATACACATAAAAAGTAGATAAAATAACAATATACGATATTAGTAAATTATAAAATACTTCGGGTCCCTTTATAAAGCGTTAATTATTTATTACAGTTTTTGAAAACAAGCAAATAGCTAAAAGTGCCTTTCTCCTGAACCATTCCAAATTCCAAAGTAGCTTTCTGTAAAGTATGTGCATAATCATATTTATTTTTAGCCAATACAATTTTTGTCTTAACCAATTGTTTTTTTACTTGAAAAATTGTTTAAAAAAAGATACGAAATTTAATGTCACATAATTAAATTTAAAAAATACGCTGTATATTGTTTAATATAGAAAAAAATAATTGTAAGATAAACTGCATTTACGTATAAATGATTTAGTTGAATGTATACTCTACGGTCACTGCCATGACAGCTGTCAACAATGTAATAAAGAGTAAATAAAATAATACGATATTATTAAAAAAAAAATTGTGGTTTTATTTTTTGGGTCAAAAAATGTATGGCGTTTTCCTTTCCTGCAGATTTCAACCACCTTTCTATGTTTGTAGACAAAGTTGTAGATAAAGCCATCCCTTTTAGTCTCTTTGAGAAGGAGATAGCAATAATCAAACTACGCCCATGTCTGTAGAATAAAACAAAAAAACCTTTTCCCCTTTCATTTATTTTTCATGTAAAAAGAACGATTTGAAATAGTCGACGGCGACAATCTCTTGTAGCTTTCGTACAAAACATGAAAACTAAATTATTCGAAGTGTAAAAAGCAATTTTTTTTTATTATTCATTTAAATGTAAATAGAACGAATTATACTAACATGTGGTTTTGAGGACCTAGCTCCAATTAACGTTAGTGAAATATGCGAAAAATATCTTAAATGAAGTGTCAACTATGCCTCCTCTATATTTTTTAATATCTGGCACAGATGTAGAACACTGGCACTCACTGTCTACTTAATTTGTTTTTTTTTAATCCCAGCCGGACGTTGTCACGAGCGAAAGCTAGATTGGGTATATAAATGAAAATCATAACTTCCATATAATCCTTTTATTTTCAATTAGTTACGAAAATCTAAATTAAACAAACCATAGTTGCTTCGATCTTCGAAATACAATTACACAAAAGGCTACTTTTGTACGCGGATACTACAAAACTGATCGGATGAGTGGAATGATATAAAATTAAAAAAAAAGCATTAAAACACATTTCATTTCTTAAATAATTAAAGCACTAAGGGATTTAAATACAAAAAAAATTAAGATCCATAAAAATATAAAATTAGTTGGTGTAGACTATAAAAAAAAATCCAGAAACAAAAAGAACATATAATTTGTCTATGACACTATATTTGATAATCTGAATTAAAATATATGAATACTGGACACAAAATACTGTACTTTTGAGTATGGATATTGCAAAAAAATATATTAATTAAATTTAAATAATTATCAATTATATAAACATAAATTCATACAATATAATAAAATTCATATTTCTTTTTTTTTTTGTTAAACATGAATTTAAAATAAGAATTTATAACGAAAATACATAAACTGACATAATTATGCCAATTTTAATTTCAAATTAAATCGAATAGCATTTATTGCATTGTATAAATAAAATATTGCAAAATCCAAAAAATCCATTGTAAATAAATTATTTAAAAATATTGTTTCAATTAAAAACTACAGCATTATTCTGCTCCATATGACTATAAAAATGGCCATAGATTAAAAAAGTGTACAAAGATCAATTTACAAAGACCGATGTTTTTTTATGAAAAAAGGCAAAAGCTTTCTAGGATTCTGCTAGTTTTGTTAAAAAAATGATTTTTTTTTTAAACGGAGCAGAATAAAGCCAGATTACATACAGCAATGTCAAGATATATGAAATATGATTGTAATCTACGGAATTTATTAGAAGAATTTTAGCATAAAGGACGTTTTGAATTTAGACAGTCTAATTATATTTTTGACGGAAATCGGAAAGTTTCTATTTTACTGAGCTTGTTTATTTTAATCACGATAATGAGTAAAAGTGAGTACATATTTAAATAGAAACCGTTAAAAAAATGAAGAATTAATATTATGCATACATACATTGATATGAATTATTTAATGAAAATTCTAATATTTACTTCGAAAAACCTAACATTTTAAAATTGTGATGACATGTTGCACTAATATATATAATTGTATAAACTACCTAACCTAAAAAAATTTAAACTTGACATATAGCTAATCGATGTACCATTTATGAGCAACTAACCTCTAAAACTAAAAAAATACATAATTATCGGTATTCTAATACATTTAATTCAATAATTCATACAAAAAAACTTACACTTTTAGTGATAGCGTTTGTTCATACATTAAATAGGCATATAACTACTTTATTAATAAAATACCAATTTACAAAGAAATAGTGCAGTTTCGATATGATGAAAGCGTTTATTGTGCGAAAGATATGAAATTAAGGAATTAAAAAAATAATGACAATGAAAATGGCGCGTATATGATTTGTCAACACGCGGGTAACAGACAACATAATTGTACGAAAACCATAAACGTAATAAAAAAATCTTTCAAACCATTTAACCGACTTTCCATCAAAGGTTATCAATAGATTTTTTTTATTACATCTATGGATAAAACTAATTAATTCACGCTTTTGCACCAAACAGCACTAAGTCATACATTCCTATCACATTGCCATCGTAATATCGATCTTATAAAAACGCTTTAGAAGTCGTTATCGCTCGAAGCGTCGTAACTCTCCACAATATCTGTGGGAGGCGGCTGGTAGCGGACGCTTGGAGAAACTAGCACCTGCCCGTGGAACGACTGAGATCGCAAAACGCTACTGAAAAGTAAAATCATTTTTAATTAGTAAAAAAGCAACACTCAATTTTTAAAAAAGATGTAAACGATTGGCTCAAAAGTGCAAGTATCCAGAGCCGTAAAAATTATAAAAGGCATTTAAGAACTGTACAGATAAAAAACATTCAGCTGTCAAATCGTTATTTTAATAACAATGCAGATATTAAAAAGAAACTACAACTGAAACAATAGAAATTAGTTACAAACATTATTAACGATAGTATATTGAATAAAATTATAGGTTATTTACATTTAACAGCAAAGCAAATCTGTAGTTCACAAGATAAAGTAACCTTAAAGTTAGGATTAGTTTATTTTGGGAGTGATTTTAAGCTTCACAGGTGATAATTTTCCACTGAGTCCTTGTATAAGTGGATGACCTGTTGTTTTTTTTATTTATTTTTAAGTTTATGTGCCAGTGACAGAGAAGAAAGACAGTAACAATTTGCATCTAAAAATGTCAAAAGCAAGACGATACAAGTTAAAAAGCTTGCTTTTTTGTTTGATTTTGAATTAAAAAGATATGAAGTAAATCGTGAAATACACAATTAACAAACTTTTTATTATTTTAAAACCCAGATTATTTATTCATTGACAATTAAGCCATATATTACAGATTTAATAATATTTATTAAATATCACTGATATAAAGAAATCAAATTTCAAGAATATAATAAACAAATACTACAAAAATAACATTGAATAAGTTTTAACAACTTATGCATAAATAATCAACATATATTTTTTTACTTTTACTACAATATTTATTTAATTACTGAGTTTAACTATTTCAATACAAAAATATTTACTAGATATAAAATACAAACTCATTAAAATTAAAAGGATGGAAGTGGCTAAAATAAATTAAAACCGCTATTTTTCAACGTACATTAAAATAACCGTTACCAATAACTGTTATTTAAAAAATGTCGGAAGCGTACGAAAGACACTCCGCATTTAATATTTAACAAGCAATTAACATTTAACCTATTAGCTAAAATTAAGATTAACGCTAGGTTATGAAGCATTTTTGTTAAGCTTTTTTTTACAAAAAAAAAGTGTTGTGCCCATCTCGACGACGCCAAAACCTTTGCCCAAAAAACTAACCTTCCAAGATGGCGCCTCTCATGTCACTTTAGCCAGAATTGCATGCATTTGACACCTGTCACGCTCTAGAATTTACAATAGGAGAAAAATACGATTATTCAATTCTGTTATAATAAAATACATGAATACAACAACGAAAACAACATATAATATGTTAAAAATGTAGTAATAGACAAATAAATCCAAAACCAACAATAACTAAAAATAACATAAATTATATGATAATAACAAATAAAATATTAAAAAAAAAACATAAAAGCTGTCAAATCTACTTTAAATCACACACAATTATTGCGACTTTTTCTGACCCAGTGATAACACTATATTGACAGTTCACTAACGTCAATCTGTAAATGTCAAAAGCATCACAAGATACTTGTACCGTAATTGTCATGTCATTGTCGATGCTTATGTTTTATGCGGTAATACACATGCCAGTAAAATAGTGTGCTAATAACTGGCACTATGCTTTCACACAAGCCAGTTTTCGAGATCCTATGACAGATGTCAATGTCAAAACTTGCACGTAAATACGTCAGTTGCTGGGATGGTGGCTACTGGCAGGTGTGATTCAAGATATTTTCTATCCAAACACTAGTCTTTCACCGGGTCAGATAAGCCTGTAAGACTGTAATAGTACAAACCTCGCTGTCTTAGGGGGGGCTTTGCCAGTCTTGCCGAGCGCCGCTGCCTTCCTCGGGTCGTAGGAAGCCCTACGTTTCCACTTCTCTAATTCTTGTTTCTTTTGTTCTGGAAAATAAAATAAATAATTTAGATAAACAGTTCATAAAGAATCAACAAACAAAAACATAATAAAAACCCTGTTAGAAAGAAAAATAATAAAAAAATGATTAAAACGGAACTGGCAGCAATAATGGAGGAACTTAGTAATTTTCATAACAAAACAAATAAAATAAGATAAAAAATTTGGTATATTTTTTATGGAAACAAAGCAATTAAAATAGAAATATGGTAGTTAGTTTAGTTTTGATGTTAAGTTAGTCGTGAGGTTAGTTTAGTGATTGGGTTAAATGGGAATGTTTCCTAATTTTTGGAATAGCCTTTATTTTGTAGATAAACCATGTACGAACACGAAAAAAAATTGTATAAAATATAATACTCATTATTTCAATAAAAAAACACGTAAATAAAAACGACTCTTTCATTTCCCCCCAAAACGTCCCATGACGTCACTTCTTTGCATACGAACCTCGCGTCACGGCCTGTCACTGTCAATTTGAAAGAACCATTGATTGATAATACTCGTAAATCTTTGTTGTCTAAAGTTGTTTTTAGTAATGGAGATAAAAATGAAAAAACCAAAATGAACAGAAGGTGATACTTTTAACGTATTAATTACACTTGTTGCTTCTCGTGGAAGATTATGTTTGTGTGTAAACAGTGACTGCGTCCTACACCAGTGTGACCAGGTATAAATTAAATTGTACTATAAGCTACTCTTATGAATTTTGATATATTTTTCTTTTGTAATATTCATAAAATGTTTTGCTCATAACTTATGTCGTAATTATAAAAACACTCAATAATGGAGTCCTCATAATATAAAACACGCAAACTCAATTATTACAATCATTTAGAAAAAAATATAACTACAAAATGCACTGACATTCACTGAAGTTGGTCACACTGCCATGTTATATGCGAAGAAGTGACGTCATTGGTGTTTGAGATCGAGTAATGGAGGGTAAAAAATATTGCAGCGTTTTTAATTTATATTTAATTTGAGACAAACATTCAAGGTCTCTAAATGTTATTATAGGTTATAAAATGCTGTCTTTAAAATATTAAACATAACTTTATTTGGATTTGTAACATTAGGAAACATAGTCAATACCATTAGTCGTGATAGATAGTTGCAAGGTGAAGTTTGTGATGTTATGTTAGTTGCAAGGTTTATTCGTGATGTTGAGTTAGTTTCTAGGTGAAATTTGTTACGTTCAGTTAGTTATAAGGTGACTAACTCACCCATCTCATACTGTTGCGCGCTGCCCCTGCTAGGCCTGTCGTGGTGAGGCAGCACGTTTACGTAAGTCTTGCTGGGGTCGCGGCGCAGAAAGTTCTTCGGCGAATTATCATTCTTGTACTTGGAGATGTCGAGGTACCTCGGCTGGATGTCTTTGGGCCGCTTCTGTTGGCTGATTGAGGTCGTCGACGATGACATAGAATAGTCACCGCTGTACCTAGAATTAGAAAAATATCGTGTCAGAAATACATTTTTAATTTTACCCACAATCGTTTGTACATATACGAAAAAATAAAATTCCAACGGGAAACTGACATTTTTAAGGGATGAATCTCATGTTACTCCAGACTTTGTTTTATATCAGTGACAAATGTCAATATATGTTGAACGACTACAGAATTATCGAGTAAATATAAACTAGTGTATCCCACGGGTACTGCTACTATTTCCGGGATTAAAAGTAGCCTATGTGTTCTTCTAGATTATTCTTTACATCTACGTCAAATTTCATAGAGATCCGTTCAGCAGTTTAGGCTACAAACTCTAACAAATATCCATCCCAACTTTTCTCATCTAACAGTTTAGATGGATGAATGTTTTTAAAGTTTGTAGCCTAAACTGCTGAACCAATTTCAACGAAATTTTGCATAGATGTAGAGGATGGACTGGAAGAACACACAGGCTACTTAGTTTTGTTTTTTCTTAACTCGCGCGAAAGGAGTCGCGGGCAAAAACTAGTAAATAATAATTAATAATAGTGAGGATTACGGTGACCGTTTGCTTATTTGTCACCTTGCTCTCCTCTTTTACACATAACCAGAAAGACCTGAAAAGTCTTCTTTGCTTACCTCTGTTTCGCCTGCGCTGTCCCTTTCTTTCCCCCCTGATGCCTCATAACAACTGGCGCACTCTCCGTCCCGCTCTCACCTTCTGTATCACTAGTACCAGTTGTTAGAGAATTCTTTTCATGACTGAATATAGAAGAGTTTCTTGGGCTGCTACCGTTTGTGGTAGAGTTTGTATCGCTATCTAATATGAAAGTCTTTCTCTTGTCAACTGCGGAACCGTTGTCTCTTTTCTGTAAAAAGTCCACATTCTCTTTCGTGGGAGTGATATCATCTACTATGTAAGTCTTTCTTTTGTCAGCATCTTTACGTTTCTTTTCTGAAGGTTGGTTAACCTGAAATCGTAAATAAAATAATCTAAAGCAAGAGTAGATTTAGATGAGAGTACACTTTTTAATTCTTATTATCTTTAAAAGAAGAAATAGCAGTTAAATGTAGAAATAATTGAACTAATATCGAAATTAAAGATTTGAAAAAAGAAATAACAACAGAAAGGTATGTATAAAAAGAACGAAACGGGAATAAAATTATTATTACATAGGAAAACTGTCAATTACGTGCCGTCTGTAGCAGGCTTTAAATTTTTACTGTCGTAACACTTATATTAAACATTCATATCGCTGTCTCTGTTTTTTCAAAAAGAACAAAAGAGATAGCATGCATGTATGTGCATCTCCTCCTCCGTCAATGAAGGGTCGGCAACGCATCTGCAATTGCGGATGTCTATAGGCAGCGGTCGCTTTCCATTTCGATGGATCTAGGCCGCTTGCTCGTTTGCCACCTTATATTATAAAAAATAAAAAAAGCAATGCCAACTAAAAGAAACAAAAAACACAGAGCCAAGTTAATAGCAGACTAACCTGGAAGCTAGTGACATAATTCCTAGACAACACTACGTCATTAGTCATGGCCTGTCTTCTTAAATTCTCCCTCGTAAAATCCTTTGTCCTCAGATCCAGTATATCAGAATGAGTAGACGTGATCATCGGGTCTATCGGTAATGTAGCCATCTGATCGTCTTCTGATGAGTAGTCCAATGTCTCCAAATCAGCTATGTTGGTTGTATGGAAAGACTGAGACCGATGGACAGGTGAGGAGTGACTGGAATTGATAGAGTAAGATGTAAACAGCTTGAAAAGACCGGATTTAACAAAAGACTAAGAGCCTGTCCCACCAAATGAACGTCTGATAACAATCTAACGTGTAAAATATGTGAAGGAAATATCGGGTTACGTTACCTTTTCTGACAGTGACGTAATTTTTAAACTATCTGAGCCTCTATCAGCCAGTTGTGGGACAGGCCCTAACTAGAGTAATTCTAATCTTCTTTCCCTTAATAACAATTCTAGTAGAAAAATATTAAGAGAATAAGTTTATAGAGTAAAAGAAAAGACGTACCTAGGAGAACTAAGGTCATCCTTATTGCACTCCTGTTGTCTCGGCTTTTGCTGTCTCTTTTTCCCTTCCTGCGCGGCCTTCATCGGGTCGTAAGAAGACCTCTTCTTCCAGTTAGAGAATTCAACTTCTTTGGTTGCTAAAGCTGACGATGATCTGTACTGGCTTGCTTTCTTTTGAACTGGAACATTTTAGGTTATGTTAGTATTTTGCCTAGTGTTTAAGGGTACCCTAAAATGATATGAGAATATAGTCTTTCGTATCATATGCTCTCAGAAAATACATATTTATGACTGAATATTTATGTATGTTTTGTTGAAATTCCATTACTTAAGGACTCTCATGAAATACGAGACTGGAGTGTACCATTAGAGTGTACCTTCTTCAGAAACGGGATTAGTTAATTTTAAACAGTGTTTTAATATTGAATTTAATTAAACCAAAAAGAATCTCTATACCAATATTATAAAGAGGAAAGATTTGTATTTTTTTAATTTTTATATATACTTAAATAACTCTAAAACCACTGGGCCGATTTCAATAATTCTTTCACCATTAAAAAGCTAGATTATCACTGAGTACCATAGGCTATGTCATTTATTTATTTTTAATTTCACGTAGACGAAGTCGCGAGAAATAGAGTCGTCTAATAAATGTAAAACACGCAAAGTCCTTGCATTCTCTTTCAGTTCGCTTGTTCACTGAAAATTGGTAACACTAACCTTAGGAACGCCCTTCATTGCTTTAAAAAAATATATACAGCGTTAAATATAGAAAAATACTTAATTCATTTAACTAACCTTTCTCCTGAACCTTAGGCTGCAGTTCCCTGGTTGAAGATCTGGATTTAGTCAGTCTACTGAGAACTGCTTGTCTTGTAGGATCTGATATCCTTCTGCTCTGATGATTAACAGGTTTAGTTCTTTCCTCCTTAGATACAGGGGGTTCTGACATTCTAGAACGATCTTTGGGTCTCCCTGCATTCCTGATCAACCCTGGTCCGAATTTACGCTGCATTTCAGGTGTGTTGGGACATCTCGGCGAGTTCGTTGGTACGGTTGATTTGAGATCTGGTGAATCTATTCTACCTCTGTGAGTTCTTTTGAATCTAACATCTTGAGATTTATCGAAAGATCCCGTATCCGATTCGTCTGATATACAATAATCTTTGTAATCTTCGGAATGTCCGCTGGATCTTCGTGATTTTATTCTTGCATCTACATGATTGTTGTTTCTATTTACTGTGTTGAAGGAACTTGAACGTCGGATGGAAACACCAAATGCGTTTTGGACGGGCTTGTATTGTTTACTATCACTATAAACTCTTTGATGGGATTTCTTCGCGTCGCCTTGGTAACGAGTTTGATCAATTCTCGGGTACAATTTTGAGTCGATTGCGTTATTCTTTAAAACTGCTTTAAGGCAGACAGCTTCAGTTATCGGTTTAACTTCTATTTTCTGTCGATATCTTGGTGATGTTTTGTATTGTGGTTTATTTGATATTGTTTTGTCTTCTGAACTGTTACTGCATAGACCTCTGTCTGAAGATGGACTGTTCATGTTGGAATCGTGTCTTCTATCTGTGTCTAGAGATCTGGAAGCTGTGTTTAATAGGACTTTAGTGTTGGTTTTATTTGAACCTGTGATAACGTAATGTCCTGGACTTCTTAATGGACTGCTATCATTGGAATTATCTTTCCTTCTAAGGCGATAGTTCAAGGAGTTGGATCTACTGAGCTGGGAGAGAGGGACTCTTGAGACGGCGGTCTTTTCACTGATGAGACTTGAAGTCAGCTGGGACGGAATGTTCGAGAAGTTATTCGTTCTGGAAGATTGAAGCTTCGCTTGCAGGTTAGTGATTGCATTTTGTGTTTTTAATAAGTATGATTCGGTATCTTGAGGTGGTATTAAATCCTGTAACAAAGACAAGAAATATTAATATAGGATAAGATAGGTACATTAAAATGTATGTATTAATTTCACGTGCAAAAATATGTTGCCATCCCTTTCACTCTCTTTAAAAAAAATAGAGACAACTATATATTTTCAAACGGATATTTCGGCTTATTGTTATTGATTGTTTTTACTTGTAATTACGCTGATGTTATGCTTTCAAAGTTCTTTTCTATTTTAATATAATTGTAGATTAAAAAGCTAGTTAAGTAAATGTTTATCATCTTATAAAATCGAAGCTTGCATAATAAATTACGCGTTCAAATAATGTTGAAATTTCGCTCCGAGAGCTGATCCGTTATACAATATTTTGTAATGCAACATTTTTCTATAAATACCACAGCAAAAACAAACTAAAAAAGCATACTAATATTATAAATGCGAAAGTTCAGATGAATGTTTGTTAGCGTCTGTAGCCTAAAAGGCACAACGGATTTCAATGAAATTTGGTATAGATTTAGAGGATAGTCTGGAAGAACACATAGGCTTTCGTTATTTTTTAATTCCAAGCGTACAGAGTCGCGGGCAGAAGGTATAGGTAAATAAAGATTCCTATTATATGAAAAATGTAAGACATCTACTTATAAAATGGCGGACGATCGTTTTTATAACTCGTTTTAAAAATGCATTTCCACATATCATATGTTCTTTTGACGGAATTTTTAAAAGCGATCTTTCGAATAAGGTCCAAACCATGTAACGGAGATCACCTTCAAGAAATCTTAAAAAATATAAACAAGACAAAGCAAAGGATGAAAATAATATTAGTAAGATCGTATATGTATTTCGTTAAGCGGATATACGTGAATATCGTGTCGCATGTTATAACGTCAACGACTGGTACAATGACGAGACCAATGTTTAGTTATAACCTAGTTTTATGTTACACTATTTCGTCCGCAACTCCTTTAAATACTGCAGTTCCCGTGCGGCTTCATACGCGTGGAATTATAAAAAAAATATTTTTGTTTACATTTTTCAAATTATCAATTACAAATGTCAGAATGACATGACATGATAACCTTGCTTCCTTGATGTTGGCTGCAACTTGTGGTCTCTTTCCCACATTAGAGTTTTTATCTAAAATATTATATTTAATTGCGTTAAAATATATAGCCTAAAGCGTGACGCAAGTGTAGGGTGTTTTATTAAAAAGATATTATTCAAAAATATGGTGTTATTGCTGACATCTTAGGCAACAAAGAAGTGTGTGTTTACGCTTTATTATATTAGTATAGAAGTATAGATATGGATGACACATTTTATTTAAGAGTTAAATTAAGTAAAGATGATGAAAATCGATTGGTCCAGTTTCAGATGTCAATGTCCCAGATTGCACTGCAACCCCTTAAAACCCTCCCCGCGATCGCAGCGCCACAGTAACAGTATTGTTAATAAAATGGCCGACAAACACGCATCAAATAGCAGATCGAATTTTACTTTCATTAATATTTTTTACAATTCACAGGAATATATGTTTTTATATGATTTCGTGACGTCATCGTCGTAATTGTTTTAGATTGGTGCAGCGCCCCTAGCGGGCGTAAAGCACAACAAATCTCACACAAAATGTTATTACGTTACGAATTCTCGCAACTGCAACACACTCATAATAGACCCTCAGAAAAATAGGTTATGAGTCGCATTTGAATAGACAGGACATTTAAAATGCAAAGATGTAAAAATCTTTGACAGTCTCCATTATTTTAATGCAGATATCCCCATATGAATTAATAAAGAGTATAACAGTTAAGAAAACGACTAGCGCTTACATTTTATTATCTGTGCACTTAAACATGCGATTTGCTGTTACATAATCTGTGGTTACGTTTCACACTTGTTTCCTTTTGCAATTCATGATAATTAGAAATTCTTTTCAATTCAAGTCCATACACAATTCTACATTGCTATACAAAAGTATTGCTAAAATGTTCAGAACTAGCTTTTGACCGCGACTTCGTCAGCAAAGTTAAAAAAGAAACATAGCCTATATCATTCAGTGACAGTCTAGATTTCCAATAGTAAAATATTTTTGTATTTAGTCTAGTAGTTTGTGATTTGATTCCATATTAGCTGTTGCTCGCGACTTTGCTTGCGTGATATCAAAAAGAGTTATAGTCCATGTTACTCACAGATAAATTACCTTTCTAACGGTGAAAGAATTTTTAAAATCGGCCCAGTAGTTTTTGTGTAATCAATACATACAAAAATACAAATTTTTCTTCTTTTTATTAATGTATAGGCTTTCAATTGATTCTGTAATCCACGATCAACTTTAAGAACATTTTATTCTGCAGATCGTCGCGGACAAAATCTAGTTACATAACAAACACAACTTTCTTTGACACTTATTTTGATGAAAATTAAATAATACACCGACCACATTCCGTACCGGAATCGAAGCCGGAAACAAAACGGCATTTGCGACTCCGTACTTGCGGTACAGTAACCCAGTGGTTAAACTTTCACTGTCCACTGTCCGGTTCGAAGCCTTGCCAAATATGTTATCAAAGACATCGCCGACGCATAACTTATATGTAATTACTTCCTGTAAATTTATTTGCATACTTTTAAAAACTACTTCATGTACTAGCTTTCGCCCGCGACTCCGACCGCACAGAATCTATACTAATATTATAAATCGGAAAGATTTGGATTTTTGTATGTTTTGAAATATATCAAAAACTACGAGGCCGATTGAAAAAAAAATGCTACTAGAAATCTGCGTTATTATTGAGTGACACGGGTTATTTTTTTTTATTTTCACGCGATCAAGTTGCAAGCAACAGTTTTTATAATAATTGTAGCCTATGTTACTCACTGATAACGTAGCTTTTATTGTTGAAAGAATTTTTGTAATTAGTCCAGCAGTTTGAATTTTATGCGTTACATACAAAAATACAAATCTTGTTTATTTATAATATTACAAATGTATCATCATCACCAGCTCACTATACGTCCCCACCGAGGGGCTCGGAGCCTACCCTAAAGACTAGGCCATAGTCAACCACGCTGGCGCACTGCGGGTTTACTTCACACATATCTTTTAATTTCTTCGCCGATATGTGCAGGCATCACGATGTTTTCCTTCACCATAAGAACGTCGGGTAAATTATGTCATATGGAAATTCAAAAAAACCGAAAATCACATTGGTACAGCGGGATTCGAACCCAAGACCTATAGATTACATGTCAAGTGCTTAAACCACTGAGCCACCGACGCATCACAAGTCCACAAATGTATAGAAAAACAAAAATAGTTTAAAATTAGTACGCACTCAAGTCTATTCCTATCAAGGTCATGAACAATTGTTTTTTTAATCCTAGACTACTGCACACCGCCTACCGTCTTCAAACCATATACGAACTAAACTATTAGGTCATCCACCATATGTGAGTCAGGTAATATCAATTCGATTAGTTTTAAAGACTTTTTTAACCAAATTAAATCCTAATAAACCTGACATTGCTTTTATTCTGGTTTAATTTTATATAACCTAACATTATTCTAACGTCCATTTTGAAAATCATTTATCTATACTATTATAATAAAGCGTAAACACTCACTTTGTTGCCTAAGATGTCAGCAATCACAGCATATTTTCGAATAATTATTTTATTAATAAAAAGCCCTACAGTTACGTCAGGCTTTAGGCTAAATATTTTCACGCCATTAAACTTAGGGGATAAATATTTTGGATAAAAACCCTAATGTGGGACAGAGACCATAAGTTGCTGCTAACATTAAGGAAGCAAGATTGTTATCATGTCATGTCATTTTGACATTTGTAATTGATAATTTGGCAAATGTAAACAATAAAATAAAGTTTTTATAATTTAACGCGGATGAATCCGCAGGAAAACAGCTAGTTTTGTATATAATTTCAGCGAGATTTCTTACCAGAAAGCAATAATGATGCAACTTTACAATAATCATACTTAATATTATAAATGCAAAAGTTTAGATGGATGGATGTTTGTTAGAGTTTGTAGCCAAATTGCTGAAAGGATTTCGATGAATTTTGGTATAGATGTATAGTCTGGAAGAAAACATAAGCTACTCACTTTTGTTTTTCTACTCTACGCAGAGAGAGTCCTTTGGGTAGGATTAGGATGATGACCCAACCGTCACCCCACGTGGGGACAGAGGGGGTGACCTTTGGGAATAATCCAATAGTAGTAACAAAAAAGTGTTTTTTTTTCAACTAAATACCACTACGTTACTGTAGCACAATAACTTCATAAATTCTATGGCTTCTTGAAATATTTAGGCCGTTGTATAATGACTGCCTTACATACGAGGAAAACTGAGACATTTACTTTTTTTTTATAACACAAGGTAGCAAACGAGAAAGCGGCTACTTGAATCCGCCAAAATGTCGAAGCTGCCGCTGCCCATAGACATCCGCAATTGCAGATGCGTTGCCTACCCTTAGAACTACTATTTTACTAGCCTAATAAATTGGCGTTTTCATTTTTTAACTGGTCACTAAGGGAGCCATTTAATGTAGATTTACTGAGAGATAACATTAACAGACTGTTTAACGGATCCTTGGAGGATTTAGTACGAAAATAAGAATTCCTAATGTTATTTATTTCTTGTCTAGTTATTAATTAGTTAGTTTAATTTGATAAACAATTATAACCTAAAAGTGCGAAATTGGCGGCAAAAAGATTTGAATATCGAATAACAACGTATGACATCACAATAATAAATCACGTTGAGTCAGTCGTGTACTCTGACTCACATCTCGGTGTTGCCATAATCGGAAACATCTTATTAGAGTTCCGTGACAAGAAAACTAAATTATGAACAATGTTAATTGCAAATAAATATGTAATTATTTATTTTTTAACGAACTTACGCCTACGGGAATTAAAAAAAAACAAAAGTTAGTCTATGTGTTCTTCCAGATTGTCCTCTACATCTATGACTTTCATCGAGATCCGTTCAGCAGTTG